ATTAATCACAAAAGCAATGTGTAATTATATATGTGTTTTCCGATGGTCTTAGGCAACCCCTGTGAAAGGGACGTTCGACCCCCAAAGGGGTCGTGACCCACAGGTTGAGAACCGCTGACATAGATTGACTTGGAGAGTATTATGCTTAGTGAAATAAGCCAGTCAGAGAAAGAAAAGTATCACATGATATCACTCATATGTGGAATCTAATGACAAAATAAACTGATAAACAAAATAGGTTCAGAGACATGGAAGCATGTAACACACTGTTGAACCTCCTGGGTGGGTGGGAAGAGACCAACCAAAGAACTTGTATGCATATATGCATAACCCACAGACACAGACACTAGAGTAGTAAAGACCTGGGGCGGAGGGTGGGGGACAGGCTAGAAGAGGTCAATGGGGGGGAGGGGGAGTGTACATATGTAAAATTTTCAACAATAAAGATTTAAAAAAATTTTTAAAAGAAAACATATTTGATAAACTTGAGTAAAGCTGCTTTCCTAGTTATGTTTCATGATACAGTATATACAATATCTTATACATATGAATATATATAAAATATATAATATACTTAATATATAAATATTATTTAGATTATATATGTATAATATACTTTGAGGGAAATACAAGAAATATAAAAAGGAAAAGAAACAATGTGTGACCACATAGAGTATACTATTATTAGCATTTGATGTAATTCCTTCTATCTATTACATATATTAACTTTAGATTACTAAGGTATAACATATATAAAGTACTTAATTATAAATGAATATTTACATATGTTCATAACTAGACAACCGACAACCATCCATATAAGATAGAGAACATTTTGTGCATCCCAGAGTTCAATTTTAGCATTCCCCTTTCTACTCAATAACCCACTCCCCTGCATATGTGCATACACACACACCCTACACATCTTATCATTTTAATTTTAGAATCCCATAACCAAAAATGTTAGTTTTATTTCTTCTTGAACTTTATGTAAATGGAATCCTACAGTCTATACTGTTTTGCCCAATATAATGTCTGTGGGATTTATTCATGTTGTGTATACCACTAGTTCATTCTTTCTTATTGTTGAGTAATATTCAACCATTTTCAGCTGTTTGGGGTTTGGAACTATTAGGAAAAAGCATTTTTAAACACTATTTTATATAGACACTAGAGGCCTGTTGCATGAAAAGATTCATGCAATAGGCCTTCCCTTCCCCTGGCTGCCGGCACCGGTTTCCCTCTGGCACCTGGGACCCAGGCCTTCGCTCCGGCCGGAGCCGCCTTCAAGCCTTCGCTCAGCTGCTTCGCGCCTACATATGCAAATTAACTGCCATCTTTGTTGGTGGTTAATTTGCATATCGCTCTGATTAGCCAATGGTGGGCATAGCGAAGGTATGGTCAATTTGCATCTTTGTTTATTATTAGATAGGATATCTTTGATCAACATTCTTTGAGGTACGCACTAGGAATAATTGCTGGGTCATAGTATGCGCACAAATTTAGCTTAGTAGAAATGGTCAAACATTTTCCAAAGCCATTTTACCATTTTACACTTCCCTCAGCAGTGAGAGTCAATTGCCATGTTTACATGTCCTTTCAGTTTTAACCATTCTCATGGCTGTGTGGTGGCAATGTATTCGTCTCTTTTTATTCTTTGAAATGTTGCTTATAGTTCTGGGAAGAATTCTTGACACAGTCTCCTCTTTCATTGCTTCTCTTTGTCAGATTTTTATTAGCCAAACAGGAATCTTATTTCACTTTATGTCATTTTCCCTCTTCACAGAGCCCTCTGAAAGATTCATAGTGTCCTCTTCAATTGGATTCACATAATGAAAACAGAGTCTCTAAGTTTTACATTTTTTCAGTACATTAATTTTCAAAGTAGGCATTTCTTGTGATTCTTTTATTTTCAAATTCAGTATCCTTCCTATAGCTCATTTTTCTTTCATCCTTATGAAAATAGATTGATATTTATTCAGGTAAATAAATGTATATTAGATCAATGCCTGGTAAAAAGTAAGAGCTCAATTACTATTAGCTATCAAAACGGTAGCTGGAATGAAAATCATTAAGAATCTCTGAAATAACTGTGTCCATAGGTATTTCTTTTCTTATAATTCTCCCTGCCTTTTTTTTTTTTTTCGTTTAAAACTCTCCATGTTAGAGAAAAGACATTCTTCCCTAATTTCATGATTTTTATTTTATTTCTAGTGAATCTATCATTCCAAATCTGGATGTATGGTATAGCAATCTACAATTAGTTGTTCACCTCTAAGATCTTCTCTCTCTCTCTCTCTCTCTCTCTCTCTCCTCTACCCTCTCTCTCTTGTCCTCTAGGTCCAAATGGTTGGTAGGGGATATGATTAACATCATCTGCTTCCAAATAGTTTAATTTCCTTTTTTATCTTTAAGAATTCCATGTGTCCACATGAGTGAGGCTAGGTGGGGAGTGTGATAAGTTTAAGAAGTGCTTTGCCTTAATCACCAGAGAAATTCTGCAGCTTCACATGAATCACAACCATCATGATGGCCCAAAGCTCCCACCTGGTTCCTGGTTCTCTAGGGATACATATCTAGATTTTTATTCCCAATTCTCTATGATGCTTTATTCTTTCATTCCTGCTTATGATGAGGGTCTGGGTTCTCTTCCACTACTTGATCCCATTGTTCCATGCTACTGCTTTTCAATAACTTTCAGATTGCTAAATAAAAAGTTAAAATCCATTCATCTAATGATGGGCACTTGGGCTATTTCTAGCTCTTAACTATGTAGATAAGTGGATAATAAAGATGTACATTTACATAATGGAATACTATGAAGCTATAAAAAAGGAGGAACTCTTACCATTTGCAACAGCATGGAGGGACCTGGAGATCATTATGCTAAGCAAAAAGAACTAATCAGGGAAAGACATGATCTCACTTATATGTGGAATCTAATGAACAAAATAAACTGATGAACAAAATAGATCCAGAGACATGGAAGCATGAGCAATAGCCTAACAAATCTCAAAAGGAAGAACCAAAGAACTTGTATATATGTGCATAACCCATGGACACAACAATAGTGCAAACTGTAATACTTTTTCAAAAATTTATTTTCTTTATTATTTTTTAAATTTATTTTTATTATTGAAAGTCTTACAGATGTTGCCTTTGTTTAGTGTGTTTTTTTCCCATTGACCCGCCACCATCCTGCACCCACCTCTCCCAGGCCTTCACCACGCCATTGTCTCTGTCCATGATTATGCATATATGCATATAAGTTCCCCAATTAATTTCTCTCTTCCAGCCCCACACCCCCAACTTTCCTCTGAAATTTTTCAGTCTGTTCCATGCTTGTATGTCTCTGGTTCTATTTTATTCATCAGTTTATTTTGTTCATTCGACTTATTTTGTTCACATATGATTGAGATCATGTGGTACTTATCTTTCTCTGACCTGCTTATTTAACAATAAAAGTAATTTTGTTTAAAAAAAGCAATTTCTATAGCATCTTGCACATACTTTTAAATGGAGTTCACTGAATGTAATGTGATCTTTAAAAAATTATATTACATTAAGAATTGAAAGAAAAAATAGTTAAAATGGTTTCTTTTCCTTTTTTAATCTTTTTGATACATTCCTCTTTTTCTTAGAAAAGGAGACAGAAAGTCTTTCATATTCTTCTTGATTATGACAACTGGCTTGACTCTAGGAAAAACCAAAGCAAGTACTTATTTGTATGTGACAAGAAATAAAGATAAGTCCTCTGACAGTCACTGATGAGTACTCTTAGTTTTCATTTCAAATGTTTAGGATGGTTACCTCAGTAAAGTTTTTATTCTTTTTAAAAATATTTTTTTATTGATTTCAGAGAGAGGAAGGGAGAAGAAGTGATAGAAACATCAATAATGAGAGAGAATCATTGATCTGCTGCCTCTTGCATGCCCCCTAAGGGGAACTGAGCCTACAACCTGTGCATATGCCTTGACCAGGAATCAAACCCTGACTTCCTGATTCTTGGGTTGACACTCAACCACTGAGCAACACCAGCTGGGCATGTTTTTATTTATTTATTTATTTTTTAAAATATATTTTATTGATTTGTTACAGAGAGGAAGGGAGAGGGATAGAGAGTTAGAAACATCGATGAGAGAGAAACATCGATCAGCTGCCTCCTGCACACTCCCTGCCAGGGATGTGCCCGCAACCAAGGTACATGCCCTTGACTGGAATCGAACCTGGGACCCTTCAGTCCGCAGGCCGATGCTCTATCCACTGAGCCAAACCGGTTAAGGCTGTTTTTATTTTTTGTGACTCACCTTGAAGAGTAATAACTTGGCTAACTAATGCAGTAAAACTGCCTCTTTCCTCTAGTTTCTTGTCACCTTGACTTCAAGGGCCACCAGTATAAGCACTTTTTCTCTCATTATCGAGAACTTTCTGTTCACGCTTCTGGGGGGATGGACTTGTGGTCTATCTGCCACCGCCCACCCTTGATCCTAATTGTATCCCCTACAGGGGAGGGTGGGGGGGGAACCAGTTTGACGCCAAGCATTGTTTTTTTTTTTTCTTTTTTTTTTTGTTTATTGGCATTCACCCGCCCCTCCCGCCTATTTTTCCTCCCCCCTTCTTTTTTTATTCCCTCCCACCCACCCCATAACTCAACAAACCCACACCAACCGCACCCCCCACCCCTCCCCCCTATAAAAAAAAAAAAAAACCCCCCCCCCCCCCCCCTTATTCCCCCTTGTCTCCTTTTTCCTTTCTCCTCCCTCTCTCTTCTGTGTGTTTTTTTTTTTTTTCTTTTTTTTTTTTTTGTTATTTTTTTCTTTTATGGCGCCCCCCGCAATCCGCAAGCGGGGGGGCCCCACCCTCGCCGCCCCCCGCCCCCCCCCCCCCCCC